GCTGCTGAATTGCTGATGGCTTTTCAAAACCGTAGGCGTAGATGCCGCGCAGCAGGTCCTCCCGCAGGCCCATGGTGTCAAACGTGGGAGTGACGTCCACCTCCTCGCTGGTCTCGAACTCCACCTTGATCATGTCCGCTTCCGCGCAGACCCCGAGGTCGCCAATGGCCGCGGCCACCATGATCGCAGACAGGAGGGAGCGAGCCGAGGAAAGTATCTTATCTACATATCTTTTCAATCTATATGCCAAACAGATCATTTGGAAGTCTAGACATTATGAGGAAGAATCTGTCGTTAGGATTGGAGGACGATTTATCAACAACCTGTGTTACACAGATGACACAATCTTGCTTGCTGAAACTGAAGAGAGCCTAACATATTTGGTACAGGTCAAGGACTGTAGTCTGCAATAAGGATTGAGCTCAACATCAAGAAAACAGACATTCGTTTGCTCATGGGCATTTGGGTTGTTTCCATCTCTTTTCTATTGTGAACAAAGCCACAATAAACATGGGTTTGCATATATCTACCTGAGTGGCAGTTACGGTCTCTTTAGGGTATATTCCCAGTAGTGGAATTACTGGGTAAAATGGTATATTTGCAACTTTTTGATAAAACACCATACTGCCTTCCAGAGTAGTTGCATCATTTTACACTCACACCAACAGTGATTAAGGGTTCCCCTTTATGTTTCTCTGCAACTTCACCAGCATTTGTTGTTTGCTCTTCTGTTAAATTTTGCTATTCTTACTGGGATGAGATGATATCTCATAGTTGTTTTGATTTGCATCTCTCTTAGAGCTAGGGATTTTGAACATTTCCTCATGTGTTTGTTGGTCATCTGAATGTGAATGTTTTCTTTGGTGAGGTATCTATTCATAACCTGTGTCCATTTTTCAGTTAGGTTGTTTACCTTTATCTTGTTGTGGTGCTCAAATATCAACAAATGAATGGATGGAGAAGCTGTAGTATATTCAGAAAATGGAATATTATACAGCACTGAAAAATGAAGAACTCATGAAATATTATCCAAAATGGGTGACCCTGGAGGATATTATGCTGAATGAAGTATCTCAGTCACAAAATAACAAATACTGCATAGTTCTACTGTTGTAAAGTGGGACTGACATTGGGGTTGGGGGAAACTAAGAGAGGATAAATAATGTTTATTACATTGAAACAGATGAGGCAAAGAACTGTTTAGGAGGATTATACATTTAGGTATTGCTGTCATGACAAGAGTCCATGAAAGCTGCATACTGATGCTGACTGGGGAGGTGGGAGGGGATTGTGTAACAATGAAAGATTTTGCTTTTCAAAGATAAAAGATTGTTAACAATATCACCTTGCTAAGGTTCACAAGCAATCCTCTTTGGGGGTAAGTCTTTTGAAGCTCAGTGTTGCATATTTTGGGCATGTTAGTAGGAGGGACCAGTTTTTGAATAAGGACATCATCTTGAAAAGTGGAGTAACAGTGCAAGAGAAGACCCTATATGAACACAGTGACTTATATTAAGTGGGTAATGTGTCAAAGGCAGTGAGATTGACTCAGGAGAGAGCAAGGTTCAGAGCTATTGTGGATAGTGCTGTGATGATTTGTAGTCAACTTGATGACGCATAACAACAACAAGAACTTACTGGTGAAATTTAGACCTAGAGGTTGATATTAATTAAATGAATCTGTGTCATCTTATCTTTTTTCATTTTTGGGGGTCCCCCCCAAAATTGTCTATCTTCTATCAGGATCTTATAAAAAAAAAACCCAACAGAAATCAATCTAAGAAGATCTCATTGGGTAAAGATGTGGTAGTTTTTAACCCTTCAGAAAAATAGAATTGTATTTATTAAAAAAAAATCATTTTCAAGAACATAATCAAAACAGAGGAACGGCATTTGAAAATTAAAGGAAACTTCTGCTTCTGAGACATGAAAATTACAATCATATTTGTGTTTGGATACTAATTCTATTAGACACTGTTAGATGGATTTTGGCTGAAAGAAGAAAATACCAGATAAGTATCTATCTGTTTCGACTATGCAAAGGCATTTGACTACATGGGCCACAGAAAATTGTTGCTAATCTTGAGGAAAATGGGAATAATCCCAGATCATTTAGTTGAGCTTATGTGAACCCTATACTTGTACCAAGGAGCAGTAGTCAGAACAGAGCAGGGAAACAGTGTATGATTCAGGATTAGGAAAGACGTGCATCAGGGAAGCATCCTATTCGCAAACCTTTTCAATCTAAATGCAAAACAGATCACTTGGGACAATGAACTTTATGAGGAGGAATGTGGAATCAAGGTTGGAGGAAGACTCATTCACAACCTATGTTTTCAGACAATACAAACTCTCTTGCTGAAATGGCATGAGGCATTTGCTGCAGAATTAAAGGACTGTAGTTTTCAATTGGATTGAAGTTCAATATCATATGGATTGACGTTCAATATCAAGAAAACAAAGATTCTCACCAATAGGCAGCTTCATGTTAGATGGAGAAGAGATTAAGATTATTAACAGCTTTACCTTGCTTGGTTTCACAGAACACTCTTGATAAAAGCAGTCAGGAAATGAAGAGACAAATTGCATTGGGAAAGACTGTTGTCAGGGACCTCTCTGGAGTACTAAAGAGCACAATGATAGTCTGGAGGCCTGATACAGGCCATGCTCTTCGTAATTACTTGCTATGATTCAGAGAGCTGGAAAATGACTAAGAATGAAAGAAGAATCAATATCTTTAAGTTGCGTTAACGGAAAATAGTGTTAAACATACCATATAGACTACCAGAACAAAGAGGTCTATGCTGGAAAGAATGAAACCAAGCTACAGCCTAAAGGCAAGGACTTTGAAGCTCTATCTCACGTACTTTGAGCACATGACCATGAGTGATCAATCCTTGGAGAAGGATATCATGCTTGGAATGGTGGAGGGACAAGCCAGAAGTGAAAGACTCAGAATTAGATGGACTGACTCAGTGACTGAAAAAATTTGATTAGTTCTCTTGGAGATGATGAGATTATTTTAGGATAGTTCAAGATTCAGAGCTATTGTCTATAAGGTTTCTATGAGTCATAGGTAACTGGAAGACACATAACAGTAACAGCTAATAGATTAAAATAAAATTTCACAGTGAGAACATCAATTCAAAATGAACAGATTATTGTTAATTTTATTGTGATTGTGATATTATAGTTATCAATTAGGTAATTAACTTCTAGATATATGTTTAGATTAAATAATTGTAAACTTTGAATTGTTTTAATAAATTTTCATTCATGATTTTACATAAAGATTGAAAAAGTTAAATTAGATTTACCAAATGTTAAAAGTTTTATAGGCGTTTTGGAACTTACTGAGTTTTTAACTATATCATTTCATCTCTGATTATATCTTTGTTATTTTATATATTTTAAAATAAAAAGAATACAATGAGCTACAAATCTGAGAAAGAATAAATAATAAAAATTCAGAGACCTTTTTCGATAAACCTAGCCAAAAGACTCTTACTACAATTATTAAAATTTCTGTTACAAAAGATATTTTAAAGTTTGGAAAATACTTTCAGAAAACCATAATTAATAAATTCAATGTTGAGAATAATCACTTAGTATAAAATAACTCCACAGTCAACATTCTTGACACCAGCACCCAGGAAATTAAAAGACATCTTGTGATGGGAAAGTCTGCTGTTAGGGACCTCTCCAAAGTACTGAAGAGCAATGGTGTCTCTCTGGAGACTAAGGTGTGTCTGATACAGGCTAT